ACGCGAAGGCAACTACTAAAGTGTACAGTACTAGTAGTACAAATCGACGTCACCTCAGACATAAAAGCGCTAGCCCTTCTATTTTGGTGTGCACGCCCACGCGCCATTTAATCTTTTACTATAATGCATTGTGCCGCGAACAATGAACGAAATTTTTCTATGAGACACGTGCCAGCTTAATTAGAACTAATCTTTTGACAACGATGCCGCACTAGTTATCGCTAGTCTCGACAAGGTAGCTGCTAATCGAAGCCGATACCGAGAATGGCAGAAAATGTTACTAAGCCATAATTTTGGAGGACTCGTTAACGACATCGACGTCCGTTGCAAAAAGAGTCGCCACTCCATCGTGCCATGCGCTGAGTTTTCAACGGAGGACTAGAATGCGTGCACGTAGACGGCGGGCGGCTTTTCTTCTGCGGCACTGCATATCAGAGAGAAAGATAAATATCACGTAAGACGACTTTGTCGGCGATGTCGGCGAGAGAAAAGGAGAATCGAGTGAAGAGGAAGTGCACCCGAAGTACAAGATGACTGGAGGAAGAGGAAGATTGAAAGACGAGCAGGCCGGGACCTTTGCAGGAGCTTTTGTCTCAAAGGATGCTCTCTCGTTCATTTCGCCGGCGGATCTTTCTTTCTCGAGTATCGTGTCTCTGCCGGCTGAGTACTTATAACTCTTTTCTTTTATTTTGCTGTGTTATGCATATATATATGGACGACAAGTCAACTCGCCCTCGACAGCCGGTAGCAGAAGAAAACGGATATCAGCACGGGCGGTCTGGAGCAAGGATAAAAGACGGCAAGAGAGCGAGAGTCTTCTTTTCAATTTGCTTGGCCTGGGCGCGTTCGGCCGTGTTCGATGAGTGCTTCTTTCTTCCGCGACGTAAAGGGTTCAAAAATGAATGGGGTCGAATAAAGTATTTGCGCGCACCTACTCTGTTGCATAATATCTCATGTCTCGCGCATGCTCGCCGAAACTAAGACAAAAAAGTTATAAAACCTCGCGCGCTATACATCTATGCCGGCAGTAATCAACAGGCGGATTTTTGCTTAGCTCGTGCCTTACGTGCGCGCGTGCATACATAAAAGTAAGCGCGAGAATGTGTATATCTATGGGTTGCATATAATATGCGGCACACGCCCGAGGCCGGATTCGCCCACATGTGTGCGCATATACGCTGCGGGATGAGGAAAGAGGGAGGAGAAGGCTCTCTTTCTCTCTCGCTCATCTACACTCGCCAATTTCCCGCGAGAAAGCAGCTTATATTTCTCCGCAATAAGGCAAAAAGTGACGTGTGTGCTCGGGCAAACACACCTACGGGCTAAATGGCCCTTTTCTCTCTCTCTCTCTCTCTCTCGCTCTCCCACTCTCTTCGTTCTCCCTCTCCGCCAGTACTCCACGCAATCTTGAGGGATTAAAAAATACAGCATCGCACGCTGCCAGAAGGAGTGTGCACGTGTGGAGATTGCTACTGGCTCTTTCTCTCAGGTCGCGTTTGCACTCAAGATTTCGGTAATCCGGCGAGCTGTGCGCTGTTAATTAGACGCCTTGTGCGCGAGTATATGCAAAGAGCTCCGGAAATTCCCCGCAGCTTTAAGTAAGACTCTGCGCGGAAATGTTTGCTCTCTAGCCGTCACGAGTGGACTTCAATTAGCTTAATAACCTCAAGCCAAGAAGATCGCCGTCTTCCGTATGAGTTATTGTATAGTGGTTTTTTCCTTCCTCGTCTTGCTACGGCTAATTTTATTATGACGAATAAGTCATAGGAAGACAATGAAGCGACCCATTTTCTTTCGGTGCTAGCAAGCTGATAAATGCGCGGTTTGAAATGTTTCTCTTCTCTTAATGTCAGCAAGTCATGTTCCTTGGGCAGCCGACAGTCACGCGATCGAGGGTGCTAGTAGGCGGCCAAAAGGAAATTTGCGTTTACGGAATTACCACGTCATTACCTGTTGTTTGACCAAGCGGCCCCGGTTACCACTTTGAGGAACAGATGAATGTGCTGATAGGAAAAGCTCCTACCACCCGAAGAACCTCGGTAACGACGATTATATCGGCATGCTTGCGCATGTGTGAGATACGAACAAGGATATGATGTGTAGACGAATATCGGTTCTTTCTTTTTTGCTGGCCTGTTTTATTTTTCTTTGCTCTTTCCTTCGCGTTTTCCACCGCTGCTTAGTCCACTAGCTCGTATTTTACTTCTACCATCCACTTCGGTCATTTTATTTCTTTTCAAAATTCATTGCAATGTGCGAGTCTAGACCGATTCACTTTTGAAGAATTGCATTTCAAGTGAGTTATCGGAAAGATCATCAAGTAATTTTCGAATTATTCCGAAAATGTCAAAGTTGCAGTTTATTCACGAGCTTGCAAGCTGTAAGCTTACGCGCTAGTTTTTATTTAATCGTGTAAAGTCTAGACTGCGCGCCTATAAGTTAATTTGTTCAAATTAAAGTATTTTTTCACAATTACGTCAAATGAACAACTCATTTATTTAATCCAGCACATTTAGACAGTTGAAACAAGTATTGCGTATGTTGTTTAAATAAGGGCTTTGATCGATATGAAACTCGATTGATTTTTTAATTTTAGCTGCTTATTTTTTAGCCACCCTCGGCGAATATTAGAAAAACAAATTGTTATTTCTGAATAACTTATCCGTTGCTTTATCTTCCAAAATACAATGGGGCTAAAACCAGACAAAATCGCCGCTTTAATATTTAAACAGGGAGAAAAAGTCGGTCTCCGCGTAGAAAGGGGGTGGGGAGGGGCGATTGGCGGCTTTTATGCGCGAACGCCAAACCTCACAACTGTCCACGCAAGTGTATATACGTCTAGTATATACGCGACATAAAATTCCTTCTATGCTACAAGATAAGATCTGGCCGCGACGTCGCGTGCTCTGTTCTATGATCTGATAAAGACTTCACCACCATCACTACCCCCTTTCCTGCCGTAGCATTCTGTGTGTGCCTCTCTATTTTCCATGCGACCCCAATCGAAGCGCGCTTTGTCTGATGAGTTGCTTGCCGATATGCGAATGTGTATATGGGCTTCGCTACTGACAAGATGACAATTGGGGTGTACGTGAGACAGCGAATTTAAGACGATTAACGATTGTCGAGAGTGTGAGTAGTTTATGTGAAATCGAAGAGGATGAGAAGTGCACTCCTTTTCCGCTCAATGGTATCTTTATCGACACGTACGCGTATAAACCTTTGAGAATAACAAAAAAAATAGAAGGAAAAAAAACGTTGGCTCAGGGCCCTTTTATTAATTCATAAGCTCGCTAACATGTATGTCGCGAAATAGTTTGAAGTTAACAGAGCCCATAGATTCACATCGACCTGAAATTTTCTTTCTCTCGCTAAACAACTGCAGACAGTCGTAAAGCCGTAATTAGCGAGGTACCAGCGAGCGATACAAAAAAACGAGATTTTTCCTTTAGCTGATAATCTCCGCGTCCACGACAAAAGGGGTTGGATGGCGTGGCAAAGCATTTCCGCCTCGGAAGCCGTGCATTAGCTTATCTGATCGAGCACGCGGCCTTACGCGCGTGATTAGGACCGCAAGACGTTGGATCGCGATTAGCCTATGAGGGAGGCACGGTAGTACTACGTGAAAAATCGACATGCCCTTCGCACTGCATCGTAAATTAGACCGACGATTTCCGTCTAAATAAGCACGTGTCAGGTCTTTTTTATAGATCGGCGTCGTTTTCTCTCCCTCTTCATTTGCGACGTGTACGTGGGTTTTGAAATCAATCGATACAACCGCTTCGAGATAATAAGAGGCTAACGTGTTAGGCTGTCTTTCTTTTCATAGAAAACAATTGAATGTACGTGGCGCGTTTTCGGAGTTAATTCGGCGCGTTGACGATGACTCCGACAATGAGAAAAGGGAGAGAGGAGAGAGAGAGAGAGAGAGCAGGCAACCTTAAACTTCCTCAAATGCTCATGCGGAAAAATGCAAAATTGCACTGTTTAGACTCGCAGCGGCGAGTGCATTTCTTGTTTACCCAGCGACCAGTCTATCGGAAAAATGGAGGAAAAAGGACTTGGCACACGGCGGAGGGAAGGTACTATACGCGAGTTTCGACCTCATAAAATGAAAAGAGGGATTAACTGCTGATGCGCTCGTTCCGAAGGGTTGGGTTGATGTGCTTGCGATTGGCTTCCACAGCGTGCGCGTAACAAGTATTCGGGGCAGTACACATCAGTTCTGATAATAACTAAGCAGCAACTGGTCAAGCGGGCGATTAGAAGCAGCACTGGCAATGTCTTAATCTTCTTAATGGACTGTAGGTTAAAATATTCACGACGTTGCCTTCATTTACGAGACCGATGACGAAAAAAAGGCAGAGAAAGAGCGAAATATTGCCTTTCCACGAGTGAGCATGCGAGGGAAAGGGTGGGTTATGAATCGTCCAAGACGATAAGAAAGCGACCTCAGCAATAACGCGTGAATTACAAGTAGTGTGGCTGGCCACCTTATATCTCACATCTGAGCATACTCAGCCTAATTATAATCAGGCTAATGCCTCTCGCGCTCGCGCGCGTTGGTCAGCAGTAACGAGTGCCCGGAGCACACGTGTGTCTATGTGCGAGCGCGCATTCGTTCGCAAAGGTACGTTACTTATCAGAGCAGAGAGCCAACCGCGCGCTTACGGGGAGGCGGATAATTAAGATTCAGACACACCCTGCGCGACCACTTGGTCGTGTCTTTCTGCCTGGGAGTGGCTCTAGTCCGCGTTCTCGTTTGCATACACCTCGAGATTTCGTGTTTGCCCAACTTGGAATCCATCGCTTTTCATATAAACGAGCGAGCTTGTGAATTCGAATGGTTCGTGTTCGCCGATTTTTGCAATGACTGTTTGATTTCAGACTGAAACGTACCAAACATTTTTCGAGGCTATCAAAATTTATTCGACACATTTCAAAGGCTAGGTGAATTTACGCTTCGGTCTGAAAATGTTTAAATGGCTGGCTGAACTTACCGGAAATTGGAGAACCACTTGACGAGCTGCGCCGTGTTATTTTTGTTGAATTTGATGTCTGGGAAGTACATCTTGAGGACGGCGGAGGACGGATACCTCACCCAGAAGAACATCAGCTTGGCCTTCCTGAGATGCATCGGCGTCAATGTCGACGAGTGCACTGTGGTTAAGGAAATACTCTATCGATATATAACCAAACAAGAATCTCAATCGCAAGACATTATTTTGCTCTGGCTGCAAAAATAATTAATGTAGCCGCAGTCGATATTCTATCTCGCTATTCGCGATCACTATTCTCAGTAATTTTATGTTTGTTTTCGCTTATTTGTTGTATGTGGCACAGAGAAGCAGTGCAACGTAAAGCAAAACCGAGGCCACAAAGCTTTCTTCGCGTAGTTGAGGACATCTCAGACTTAATCGTGTTTTCTTTTAGTGCATCGAACGGGATTAGAAATCGTACAAGCTGTCGTCGATGCGAGAGGGTGGAGAACGTGACAATTGAAAGCGACGCGGATCCTCAACCGAAGCCTTACTTACTCCTTATCTGTAATAGGATCTCCGCGCTGTGGTTTCATTTGCATTCTTCGCCATTTTATCCGCCGCGACGACTTTCTTTGCAACCTATCCCTTATTCGCCGCTGCTGTGTACGCATTTTATTTTATTTTAAATAAAAACAATACTCTTCGCTCCTTCCGATTATTGATCGGTTTTCCGCTGAAGCCTTAACCCAAGAAAGACAAGTACTTGGCAGATTTTAAGAGTTATCGTTGAAAAGACTGAAAGCGAGAGCCTTAAAAGCATGCTGCCGGCATATACGTATATTTTCCAAACACGGTCGTCGAGAGAGTTCGTGCATTGCACAACAGAGGCATTGATTTCACACGAGACCAGTTAAAACGACGCGCTGCAAAGAAAAGTTCGGTCGGTCGAACCCCCTGGTTTCTCCTATGTGCAGTTGCTGCAACCCCATGCACGTCATCGCGCATCTTTTTGCCAATTAGCAAGGTATAGGTAAGTCGTTTGGAACGACGCTAATTTCGAGTGCACCGTGAACGACCTTTTTCACTCTGGCGTTCCTTTTTCTCTGCAAGCGAAACTCTATAAAGGGTACGAGCGAAGTTCGCTCTTCTCGAGCTTGAACTATGCGTCAGTGCAGCAGCAGCAGCAGCAGCAGCAGCAGTAGCAGCAGCAGCAGCAGCAGCAGTCGAAGCAAAGTTGGCGTAACTCCCCGGCCCAACTAATCTAACATTCACAGGAACTCCAGGGTGAACTTTATGCAAGCGCGTATGTGTATGCGCAGCTCGCGGAAGAACCTCCGGTTCTCGGGCTTCCTCTTTCTCCCCCGGATGTTTGAACGACGTTACCAAAGTTTCTCAATCTTTTCGACTTGACTTTACGCATCCGCTGCCCTCAACAGTTTAGTTTCTCTCAACAGACATCAACGGTTACCGAGAATTCACTTCTTACCGCGTCTCGGAGTCACTGTGTATTGCGCAACTACTTTGTTTTCGTTTAATAGAAAATTTAGCTGTTAAAGCATTTAGATTCTCGTTATTTCGAATCAGGCTCAATAGTTATCGAATCGATATTCGGTCGGATCAAGTTATTTAAAATAAAATAATAGAAAAAGCGAATGCTATTTTCCCCAATACTCAAACGCATCTAGATGCACGAGTGGCCAAAAATATTGCATTGACAAAGGATATTGTAGGCTGAATGCCGTCGTAGCTGATCTCGCCAGAGTTGCAGTCGCTACCTCGATCGTTGCTGTCCATCCTGAGATGACCGTAGTCGGGCTGGGCGTGCTGTGCTGCGGCGAGAAGGGCCGGATGCAGCATCGAGGGCGGATGAGGCAGAGGTGGCGAGTCCCGCAGCTCGACTCCACCGGCTACGGGCGGCGAGGCCGAGAGATGGTGGGAGCCGGGTGGCGGCACTTGAGCCGCGTGTCCCGCGTGAGGATTGAAGAACGGCGAGTACGGCGAGAACACCTGACTTTCGTGCAAGCTGGGGTTCGGTATAGCTACACTCGTTGGCAGCGAGACCGGCAGCATCGGTGGCGCGTGGTAGGGCCTGGGCGGCGGTGGCGGAGGTGGCGGTGGCGATTCTGCCCCGCCTTGCGAGCTGCTACCGTCCTGCGCCAAGATCCTCGATACGGTGCGCGGTGTGATCCGAGTGTCCGTCACCTGTGGGAACAACTAAACGTTACTATTGAATGCTTTCCTTCAACAAGGTTTGGTCTTACGTACTAACTTATGACTAATAAAAATCTGTTGAACAAAACGTACTGAGATAAGATTTAATATTCACCTTATGGCGTTTCTTCTTGGGTGTCATGACGAGTGACAGGGCTTCGTTCTGTTCGGAATCTCGGCTGTCTCTTTCCTCGCTGGCTCTCAAGTATTGGTCGCGTTCGCGCTGCTCCCTTTGCTGCTGTTGCTCTCTTTGCTGTTGCTCGCGCTGCTGTTGCTGCTGCTGCTGCTGCTGCTGCTGCTGCATCGAGGCCATAGCATATATCGAGGGTGGTTTGGGCGTCTGGAAGAGGCCGCTTCCAGATCTCGCGTGTGGTGGCAGCTGATTCAGCTGGTTGAGGTTGTTCTCAGCCAGTCCCGCGGCGCCGTGGGTCGAGTGGGAACCACCTCCGGCAGCCGAGCCGAGAGCCCCGATGGGCGAGAAGCTCGATGCCTGCGATGCGCTCGGGGGCCCGCCGGTCAGGGGCCCCCGCGGCCCGTTTGGGCCACCTATCGGCGTCGGCGCCGCTCCTCTGTCCACGACTTTCGTCCTGGGCGATTTGCGCTCCAGATACTGACTGGCGAGCATCAGATCTTTGTTCAGACTGCTGAGCTGATCGGCCGCGGCTTGACACGCTTCCGACTGCTTTCCCAGTGACTTCTTCTGCTGCACGAACCTTGAGATTATGCTGTCGATGAGGTTGTTCAGATAGGACGAGATTTCAGTCTTGAGGCTATCGGCGAGGCCCTCCAAGTCGGCTCCCGTGATGTTGGGCAGCGTCGAGCTGGCCACCTCCACGGCGCCGCGAAGTACGCTCAAACTTTCTTGGAAGTCGCGATCTTTGTGGTCGCGAACCGGCGCTTGCAGAGACTTCTGCATGCGCGGCGTGGGGGGAGCACTCGGTGGGTCCTGCCTCGAAGGCGTCTGCGAACTGGGCTGCGGCGAGCTGCGCTGCTGCTCCCGCTCCCGCTCCCGCTCTCGCTCGCGCTCGCGCTCTCGCTCCCGCTGCTCGCGTTCCCGCTGGTGTTGCTGCTGCTGCTGCTGCCTGATGGACAGCGCCTCCTGGTGTTGCTGCTGCTGCTGCTGCTTCATGCGCTCGGCGTACCTCTCTTGCTCGAGGTAGAACTTTTGGTACATGGCCGCGGCGGTCGCGTGATCGTGGGGCATGGTGCCGGGCAGGGCGCCGTTGTAGGCCACCTGAGCGGCGTGGGCCCGGTGGCTCCGGTGAGTCGGCAGCTGGGCGGGGCTCGTGGGAGCGTCGCAGCTCTCGCTGCTCTCGGGCCCCATGCGGCTCGAGAGCTCGGCGTACTTCTGCTGCATAACGGCCACCTGCTCGTACAGTCGGTTCAGCTGGTTCTTGAGGTTGTCCTTCTCCTCGCGCTTCTGCCGGATGGTCGCGTAGTCCTCCTCCTCGTCGCTCTCCTCGTCGTCGTCGAGTAGCGCCACGTCGCTGACGATGTGGCTGTGATGGGGCACGTGGTGCACGTGCTGCTGCTGGGGGTGGTAGAGCTTGCGCTTCTTGCAGCCGTTCACCGCGGCCGGCTGCAGCGCGGGGCTACTGCGCATGGTACTCACGATGTTCTCCACGCGCGCGCGCTTGATCTCCGTGGTGGGCGAGCTGCTGCTCTCCTGCTTGGGCAGCACCGGGCAGGGCGAGTTGCTGGGCGAGCGCTTCATCGGGTCCTGCATCTCCTCCTTGACGCTCACGGAGCCGGAGCGCGGCCCCGTGGGGCTGGAGGGCAAGCTCTGGTCGCAGTCGGAGCCGTCGAGGTTGGCGCCCGGCTCCATGCCCGCCTCGGCGAACGCCTCCTCCATGGCGCGCGCCGCGTCCTCGGCGCTGTCGTCCGCGTCCGCGGGCATCACCGGCTCGCGCTCGCCGTTCTGGCTGGGCGCGGTGCCGTTGTGACCGTCCGCACTGTCCTCGCCGCCACTTTGCACTGCGTTAGCACTGTTGCGCGCACTCGAGTCACTGCTGCTCAGATGCTGGGGACTCGCGTCGGCTCGCTGCTGCTGCTGCTGCTGCTGCTTGAGCAGCTCTTGAGTCGTGTTGTTGTTGTTGTTGTTGTTGCTGTGGATGCTGTTGTTGTTGTGAATGCTGTTGTTGTTGGTCGGCTGGTCCTGAACGGAGAGGGCGCTGAGCTTGCGACCCTGCAGGATCTCGCGCAGCATGTGCTGGGTGAGCTCGGGCGCCGTGGCGGGATCGTCCGCGCAGTTGACGACCGCTCCCGGCTGCAGAGGATTGGCCGCCTGGGTCACGTCCATGGCGGTGGCGCCCGTCATGCCCGTGGTCGCCTCGGGGGGCGAGGCGCCCGTAGCGTCGGCGGCCTGCTTGACTTGGCGGCCGAACAGCTCGTTGAGCATCTTGGTGGGCGGGCCGTAGCCCGGGGCCCCGAAGAAGCCGAAGGCCGCCGCGTGCTGCTGACTGGCGGTGGTCGTCGTGGTGCCTGTCGTGGTGGCGCCTGCCGCCTGCAAGTGACCTTGACCTGTACCGGTGGTCGCCCCAGCCTGCTGCTGGAGCTGATTGGAGTGAGACTGCTGCTGCTGCTGCTGCTGCTGTTGCGGCGGCGAGTGCGCTTGCTGCTGGCCGGTGGGCGACTGGCGCTGCTGCGACTGCGGCGGCTGGTTGGGGTTGAACACCGCGCCGTAGAGACTTGCGCCGCCGAGAAACGAGGGTCGCGAGCTGAAGTTCGGTATGCTCGAGTAACTGTTGCGCGGCTCGCCGGCGTCCACGCGCTGTCTGGTGCGCTTCTGCTTCTTCAGGAGTTGCTGCTGCTTGCTATCCGTGGCTGCTCCGTAGAGGGCGAAACAGTCGGTCTCCTCCTCCGATGACATCATCGGCCGTCTGGTTGGTCGGCCCCCCGAAGGCCTCCGTTTCCCCTCCCCGCCAGGGCTTCTTTTTCACCCCTCCCCTTCGCGCAGTAAGTGACTCGGGCTACGCTGCTTACACTGCTACGGATATAACGGCCCCTCGTGCACGCCAGCAGCTCGAGAAACGCGCCGTCTCCCCTTCTTCTCGTGCTGCTATCCCTTCTCCAACCAACTCGGCGCGCAGTTCGTTCGCCGCCGCACAGCTGCTTCAGTCGTCTGTCGTTCCTTCGCGGGCTCCCCCACTTTGCCACTCTTTGCTGCACAGCTCTCGCCCAAGATTCTCTCTCTCTCTCCTCCTTCCTCTTCTTCTTCGTTGAGCGGTGTCGTCGTTTGGTTCCTTGCTTCCCTTCTCTTTCGTTTCTACTATTCGGCGGGCCGATGCTTCCGCCCTGATGTCAACGACCTCAACTTGGGCCGGCGATAATCGAGCCTCGTTAGGTCGTCCTCTAGCTGGGGGCGGCTACCACTTTGGGAGCCGCGCTTTCTTGTAGTTGCGCTAACCTTATTATTGCACTTGTCTATGATGTCGTTGCCATTGGCCAAGCCGAGGTAGTTGAAGCCTCGCGCGACTCGCGACCCCGGTATCCTCGCGCTCCCGCTTGGGAGCTGCATCCTTCGAGCTCGCCAAAGGGCTCGCTGCCCCTCACTCCCTCGGCGTGATGCCCAGAGCCGGCTGCCGAGCTGCTATGTGTCTGTAACAATAACGAATCCGCGTATTATTCATCAATTCATCGCTATTAATTAAAAGAAATCGTTTTAACATTGCGTCATCTGTGTACTTGCTAATATGTTTCAGTTGAAAAATGCAATGAGTAATTGTCAAATGATATCGTCGTCATGTACTTCGGAAATGTTTTTCAACCAGTTGAATGACAGTACTTTTCGAACGGCTTGATGCTACGTGTACACTTTATGCTCGTACGAGTTCAATAATGAGCGTATTTATAGTAAATCCTAGCATGCTCTGTGCATCGCGTGTAAGACGGGGACAGATGCAGCGAACGCACAAACGAATCTCATTGCTTATTCCTGGCCAGACGTCTGCCATCGCCACCGAGTACTGGTAGGTTATTTCAAAATTCGCTGAAAATGCAATTTCCTCGATCCAGTGAAAATTATAAGATAATGATTGTATTCACGAAACAATTGGTTAACCCGTAATCGACTCGATAATTCTCTCAATAAAACAGGGGAACTAAGCGAAGCAGGTATAAAGACAATAAAGTTATACACTGCGAGTAACAAGCCCTTTTTTTCTCTCCTCTACAGTCCGACTCTTTTGCGGTTTACGCTAGAGAGAGGGTTTAGGCAGATATCGATGCCAATTACAGTAAGGAGTTACCGCGGCAGAGCAGGACCCTATACTTTTACGATGATGAAAAAGAAACAGGAAAAAAGGCCTAGCATTTTATATCACAATGCTCAGAGATATTATACAGTATATAGCAGTTCGAGGGCTACTCTCTGAATAACTCTTTCTGTCGGACGAGCAGAAACAGACTGGAGTACTTAGCGCTGGCCAGTCGATACCTACTCGAGTCGCCAAGTCGAGTAGTCTCGGCGACTCAAATCCAAGAGATTTCTTCCCTTCGTTCGTCTGCGCCAGTTTTAAAGAAATTGCGACGGCTGGGCCATTCTTTTTCTCCGCTTAATTGCACTCTTTCTTAGATGAATACCCGCTGAAGATATAAAGAAAGCGATCGGTGAGCGGCTCTACGTCAAATACTCGACAAGCTTTCGCGCGACATTTTCTCCGCAGTGCTGACCTCGCCTTGCGACAATCGTTTGCTATGCCTATTCATCATGTATGGAGCACGGCAAGTTGACTTGAGCAGCGAAAGCGAATGAGGAGCTTGTCGTAGCTAGTGTTTGCGCGTCTACTTTATTCCCATGCGTTCCCATTACGAGAATCGCCAAGTAGTATATACGTGTGACCCGATAGAGTCTCGGCAAACAATGTTTTCCAACACACATATATTATACCGACGCTAAGGGATCAAAGCACAAGGAGGTATGCTTATGTGCCTTGCGGATTACACATGAGAATATGTGACTTTTTTCAAATATTCCGTCTTTGAGAGCAGCTGAGCGTCGCATGTCAAGCATGCGGCATTAATAGCCGATAAACTAATTTTTTTTTATTTCTTACTTCCAAAAGGGGCATTAATATCTTAGCAAAAAACCTATTTGCAGCACGAGACAATTTATTTTTGAAAATTTATAATAAAATTAGGTGTTCAACTCCCTCGGAAAGCTTAAATAATATATTACTAAGATAGTTTGATAAAAGGAAAATTGATAAGCGAAGAGTTAGTCTCATTGGTCGCAGATCGAAACCTATCGCTGACAGAAGGCAACTTGTACGTGAAAGCCTGATAAGAAACCGATCAATAAATGTTTATCAGAGGAAAAGCTTTTCCTGGTGGATTCTTCCAGTACAGATGCAGAGAAGCGCATACGCCTCTTCAATAAACGAAATCGTCGCTTTGGCGTCTGGCGCGCGTTTAGTTTGTATAGGTATACTTCGAAGCAACAGCTGAGCGTGCGGTTACGGCAGGCAACGCGCGCGCGCGGCAACGCTAAAGCACCTGCCCTCGATGCAAGGGGCGCCCACGTGCCGAGCGCGCGCGTTCGTTCGCCCAGATGCTATACCTATTATTTCGGTTTTCTCATCTTTACTAGAACCGGGAAATTTTGCCGCTACCAGTCGGAAGTAAAATTGAAGAAAAATTGAATTTTTCCAAAGGGGGTGCGCATCCACATTGAAACCGCTGGTTTCCTTTTAATTATGATCGAACCTGCGTGAAAAATTGACGTACTTTAAGATTAATTGATTTTCTACGAACGGTTGATCGAAAACTAAAAAAATATTTGAAAATGAATCTATTAGGATAGTTCCGTTAGGCTTGAATTAAGTCGAGCATACGTGTGAAATTTTTACTATGGAATATTGAAACCTGTATTAAATCTATATCGAGCGATTATTAAATGCTTGACTCGACGTTAGCGTGAACGAAATCGCAAAGATATGGATAAAACGTTCGATCGGGGTGCGCAAGTCTCATGCGATAAGCCTATCTAAAGCTCTCTGAGCATCGGCTTTTTATCTTTGCTTCCGCGGAACCGAAACACTACGCAGCTCACACGAACGCACCAAGGTGTAACCTCACGCTCGCCATATGGTACTAAACCAGTGATAAGGTCGAAAACACTCAAAGGGAAGTAAGCGAGTTCGAGGGGGGGCCCCCCTCCCTAGTGGTTGGTAGGCTCGTTATATACCTTGATGCGTTTCACGGAAGGAAAAAGAGAGGACTTCGGAAGTCAGTTAATTACGCCGACCTATGTGTGCATGTACGCGTACGCGCTTTGCCTTCCGGATGACCTATGTGTGTGATTCGCCTCGACGAATCGATGGAATTCCACGCGTCGAGAGAGACAGCCTCATTGTTCGCTCTTTCGGGCTCGAGTTTGTGCTCTTTTTTGTTTCCGTCGCATACGCCTTTCTCTCTATCTCGGATTTTTTTTTCTCTCTACAGCTATCCGTCTCTCGTGCGGACAATGACAGCTCATTTGAACGTTGGTTTCGCCCATCACGAGGAGTGCGTACACACGCTCTTCTGTTTACCGGCAAGCCTGTGCGAGTGGTTTTTCCACGGAACACCTTTTTCATGAAATGCTTAGTTGATTAGTTGAGATTGTGCGCGACATTTTCCACGACTGCGGATTTTATAGCCGATTTGAATAATATCTAGGTTCGAGTCTACTTTGTTTGCATTGAGCATTGGAATAACATTTACTCTTCACTTAATTATCTAGTCAAACTAACTTTATTTTTAGAAGAAAAGCATTGTCAAGTGTCGCTATTATTCCTAATTATCTTAATGACATTGCTCCATCATTTCGTAACTTGGATCCTCTTTATTGAAACTTTCGAGCTTTGTCGATCATTGGAGAGCATTGGAGAACGCTTATATCGTTGTAAGCTTATCTTGCTCATAGAAGAAAATTTAAAAAATATCAAAATTCGAAAGAGAACCGAGAATATTGCTTCACCGATTACAAAAACATTTTAATTGTTGCAGCTTACTAGCGCATCAGCCGTCCACCCTCGCTGACAGTTGAACGATTCTTCAGAGCACTTGGTGAAGGCACATGGCGTGCTTGGTGCGCAAATGACGCTATGCGTGCCGATGCACATGTCTCGCGATGTATCTACAGAAGAGCGTGCTACCCCCAACGCGGCAGCGTAGGCGCGTCATGTGCGTGCCTCGCATTCGAGGGTTCGCAGGGGGCCCCCCAAGAGTGGTCATGGGAACCCAATAGTAATCAGCGGTCCATGTCCATCGTATACAAATGCGATGCCTAATGGGGCCCCGTTTACGTGTAATGTGCCACTTCCTCTCAAACGCCTACGGTTTTGCAAGTCAATTTTTGTTGTTTTTCAACTTTCTCTTCCCTGTTAGGGCTCACGATGCTCACGATAATATCGATCGCCCTGCGCTGCGTGGTCGTATTTGACTTTGAAATTTTACATTTTTCAAATAAGCGTAGAAAAAATGTAGCACTTATAGGTATATATGTATAGAGGTAAAAAGATAAAATACAGAAAGCGACAATGTTATTCTATTTATTGCCAAGTAGTAATTATTTATGATACTAAATCGTAAGAATAATAAAAGTATATTTGACGATTTGAAGTATCGCAATATAGCTACGTGCGATATCTCAGGATAGCCACCGAAAGCACGACACAAGCAGCAATCTATTATTTTTCGTTTTTCATTTTCTATTGGCAGTAATTTTTTCCTTGCATTTCACCTGATTGCAGCGAAACAAAGAAAAAAACGCGAGCGAGCTAGCAAAAAGAAAGCGCGCGCGTGAAATCGATCGCCAGCGATTAGAGAATGCACGTAGGCCTAAGCTCGATGCTCTGTGTCTGTATATAGGTACGCTTGTGTCGATGCGTACGTGTGAACAGTACAATACGGGGGTGCGAGTAGCAGAAGCAACAGCACACACGTCGAATTATGCACACAAACGGTGGCAGGGCTTGCGTTGCTGCTGCTGCCGCTGCCGCCGCCGCCGCCGCCGCCACTGCTGCTGCTGCTGCTGCTGCTCGGCATATTATCGGGGCTGGCGCGCGAGCGAGCAACAAGTTGACCGGTGTCAATTGATGTGTTATTAATTGGAGGTTAATTGCGTTAATGCGCGAGCGCACTGCACGCGTGTGCCACGATTTTATTATTGGCATTGAGCCCAACGCGGTACAACGACTTTTGCACGCGAAAATCATGTTTTCATAATTCATAGCTCGTTAAATTTCGTACTCGCGCCACGCGCGAGAAAGAGAGTGAGCACGGGCGTGCGGGGGTGTCATTTATCCAAATTGCATCAGCTTTTGATCGCTTTCATCGTCAATGAATCGACGAATTTTATATAAACAATGGCTTCATGAGAGTGGAAGGGAGAACGTGGAGAATGTGTAGGCAATTTTCCGATCACATTATTGTTATCGCGAGTGAGCACAAGCGACACTTTCGCTTTTATCGGCGGCAGCAGCTCATTTTCGTTTTCATTCGCGCACGCGACTGTTGAACCCAAACTGACGTTATATATATGCGCGAACGCTTGTTGCCATGCATATTTAACCCGTTTATTTCGTTATGACGATTTAAAGAGCGTAACATTGAAA